CCACAGATTTGAGTAGGGGGAATGGAAGCTTCAAATTTTGAATATAAAACAACATACAGCATAATAAATCTGGTATACACATTTGCCATCTTCTCACAAAGAGAAAGGACACAATTTACTGTTTGAAGATCTATGAAAAAAAGAGAAGCAAAGGCATATCTAAATCGCATTGCAATATTTATTTTTCTGAACATAATCAGACATCAATTTTCTAAGTGTGACATCAGATAAAGACATGACACTTGCATTTAAAGTTAATATTTTATACTATCCATAATGAAAACATCCTGCAGAAAACATTTTTGGAAAATTACTGTGTAGCCTTCAAGAAGTCAATGATTTTTACAGTTATCAATTTTTTTTTTTCCACTAAATAGAAAGTATTTTGTTTAAAAAGACTTGACAGTCCCTTCTTGAAGGGATTGACAGTTATATGCTATTTACTATTTTTTGATAGCAGTTCCAAAAGAACATATGTTTATAAGGTGATTAATAAGAAAACTTATTTTCTTCATACTCTGAAAAGCACAGACTAAGTGATCTCTGATGAATGACTAGACAAAAGCAAAACTAAGAGAGCTTACTCTTTTCAAGACTGGGAAGAAAAGTGGCATATCTATTGGCACAAACTTTGAACTAGGCCAACCTGGCCTAGCATAATAGCATTAGTAGGAATCAGATTTGAAAGTGTTCTCCTAGAACTAAAAGTTGTTTAAATATCTGTGTGTGAAAGCTGCTTGAAACTACTGTGAAATAACTAGGTCAACAAAGCTAGTCAAGCTGTCATTTATTTCTTTGTTAGCCTTCTGATTTTTTTGCGAGTACTGTAATTTATCTCCCACTCTTGAATGAAACCTTAATTTTCCCAGGTACTACTAAGACGACTGAAAGTGACATGAAGAGTCATTAGAGTTGAAGTTCCTACCTGAAAGCTTCTGGGCCAGAATTAAAAAACAAGCATTTTGTTTTAGCTGAAAAAAAAATGTTATAGATCATACCTGAACTGATTCAAGGGTACACATCAAGGTTTGTCTGATTTCTTTTACAGAAGTCTGCCAGACTCACTAGCCTTGTTTACAGAAGATAGATTCACTGGCATGATTCCATGATTCAGTGTACTCTGTTAATTAAAATTATAAGTCCAGTTAGCTTGACTGAAACTGACAGTCAAATATTGTCTAGATAGTGTTTCAGAAACACTTCTCCAGTGTGGGAAACTGATATTTTACAAATCACTTGTGCCCATAGCTGTTAATTCAGTTGCGTAGGCTTGTATGAAAAATGTCACAGCTATATATTTTTACAAAATGAACATGTACTGAGTACTTAAGAGACTGACTGAATATAGGTTTGAAACACTTATTCTGTCAGAAAAGACCAAAGATAGTGCTAAAGGGGCAAAAAATTCTGGAGACACAGTGTCAAAAAGGAGGGTATGCCATTCCATGACTTTTTGTAGTGCAACAGAGATGGTGCTTTTCCCCTGTCACAATTTTCTCCATCTGTTATGCTCCAAATCGTTGGTAACTATCATACTGGTAAGCGGACATAAATAATTCTAGACTTTGATGACCCTAATTAAACAAAGACTTTGAATTTCAGTGAAGACTGTTATTTCTAGGCATCACTGGTAACAATCATAATGACTCAGCAAACAACATTTTCTCATAACATAAATAACAAGATTATCTCCAGATCTACCTAAAGAAGCAATAGTTTGTCTTTCTCCTAGTGCAACAGACATTTGACTTCCAGAAACTGAACCCCACCGTGAAGTAATTGGGCCAACAAAGCTAGTCAAGCTATCATTTGTTTATTAGTCTTGCTGATTTCTTTTGCAGAGGCAAAATGCAGAATCTGCAAAAGCACAGGTGGCCATTATTTTTGTAATATTTAGGAAAGGTCAGTCTGTGTTTTGAGAAGTGGATCAGTAAGTCAGAGGCTAAATGACTTAATTCATATTACAGGCAATTACTGTTCCTTTAAGACAAGAAGGTACACTAAGTAGCTTTATATTTCTCAACTACAGCAAGCAACCAACTGAATATTGATGTTATTGGAAGGCAGAACTAAAACCTACTTTCAGATGGAGGTAAGGAATGTGAGCTTGGAGTCACATGCACAGCTGTTTGACAGAATGACGCAATGGATACGTCCTTCAGTTGCTATGGTGATGGCTCATCTGCTTATATGTCCAAGAAATAGAGCTTTTCATTATATTCTCTAAGAAGAGGAACTGCTAGCTCATAACAACAAAGTGATTTGTTTTTGCACAACATAGCTAATGCAAATAGCATTGCTTGGCTTTAATTTGGGCATGAAATTAATATCCTAAAGCAAATACATGAACAAATCACTTCTCTATCCTTTATCTAGCTACTCATGCAGCATTTTTCACAAAAGAAACTGTTTACCTCTTCAATGAATCACTAATACATCTGCAATAAATTGGATTTCTGGAATGATTGATTTAAAATTCCAGTGTACTGTAGTAACATTAATAAAAATTCATTTCAGGGTAGGATCTAATTTTATTCTAACTTAAATGATCCAGACTTTAGAAAGACTTTCTATTAATAGTTTCCTGAACACTTAAGCAAATTCTGATCAGTTGTTGCCATAGCCTAAATTTATTTATTTTCTTCAAGCGCTCTCTGACAGTGATCTGTTAGTAGGAGTTTTTAGAAGAACACACACCTAAACTTCCTGAAAATATACATATACATTCTTTGTATGTACACAAGGAGCATTTTCATTAGAAATGCCTGTTCCCACAATCCAGGATCAGCATCACCAATTATATGATTAATCAGATTATAAAATCAACAGATACACAGATGTATAATTGACAACTATACAGAGAAGTTATGCTGGTCTTTAGAGAGCATATAGCTGGAAAGATTATCACATTGGAGAGGGATAATCATAAACAAATAGAAAAGCTTACCACATCCCAAACTTGAAAAAAGACTCCAAGAAAAGCAACCACCAAATAGAGTGCCTCCCTCAGTGCCAGTCGGCCCTTAAATGGGGTCTAGAAGAGGTGGAGCCAGGCTCCACTCCTTCCGGTCACATAGGTGAAATGCCTTCACCTGTGCTCCTACAGCTGAGTCATTGCTTGCCTCAGGTGATCAATCAGAAGATCAGGCCATGATTCAACAGTTCCCATACACAGATCAATTTAAATTGTCAATATAAAAAAAAATATTGGGTACCACTTGGTATTTTAAATATTTTATTTGAAATGGGAAACTTCCTTAAGCAGTAGAAAAAAAAAACAGTGGAAAATTTGAACAATAAAGCCAGAGGAAATTGTATACAATCATAGAATCACCAAGTTTGAAAAAGACCTCCAAGATCATCCAGTCCAACCATCCACTTATCACCAGTATTTCCCACTAAACTGTGTATTCTCTTTGCGACTGTCCAGAAAGTTTAGGAAACATTAAAAAAATCCCCAGTTAAAATTCTTTGCAGATACGTAATGAATACTGTAATTAAATTTAGTTCACTTTAATACTTCTCTTACTTTTTGAGAAATCATAGTAAAATAAGTATAATGAACAGCACGATATGAAAAGAAATTACAGACATATCTTTAGGGCATTGTAGCCATCCTTGCATTCAACTCACTCAAAATCAGAATGCATGACTATGTAATTAAATAAAATGACGTAAGGGACTCTATGGTCTCAAAAAGGTAATTCTGTAGATTAGAAAATGAATACTTCGTGACACTTATTTCGCAGAATCACAGAATGACCCAGGTTGGAAGGGATCTCGATGATCATGAATCTCCAACTCTCCTGCCACAGGCAGGGCCACCAACCTCCTAGGTGTACCTTTGATAGGTGTATCAGATAGAAAAACTAAGAAACTTAAAAATACATGTAAGTTGGCAAGCAACTCCATACCTATTCTACCTGTTGTAGGATAAGCTTGTTTGCTTTGTATGAATTTTGGTATTTGTTTTGAATGATTTGTTCTGCAGCTATATTGAATTACACAGCATGCCATAAATAACCTTTGTTACAGTAATGCATAGCTTATACTTAAATATCATAGGAATTATTTATTTTTATAATGAAAAAGGAATGCATTAATTCTTGCAAATTCCTGTGAACATGGAACTCCTTGTCATCATCTTAAATATTGAGACACTCCCTCATGTGATTACTACATATGGTCCATTTTATTATAATTATGGTTCTGAGGTAGTAGAAAATTCAATGACAGTAATGGTGATGACACACACAATAAAGCAAGGACTAGGATTAGAAGAAGGAACTAGGGATACATTCCTCGAGCCTTTCCCACAGTAAGGCATCTGTGCAAGTTCTGTGATGTGTTATAATCTCCTAGGTGCTCAATAGCATCTCAGTCTTACTACCTGATTTGTCAATTATGTTCAAGATGAGTTAGTATGTTTATAAATTTGGGGTTTGCATTCATTTTCATGTAAGATTTCTAAGTGCTGGCATAAGGCTAATGATATAGAACTGCTGAGGGCACTTTTTTCCCAGCAGAAATAATCCAAATTACCCACAGGTAAATTGGCCATCTACTTTATACTCGAGCAACCATAACCCATGCTGCAGTTCATCTGAACAGCTTGCCCAACTTCCCCTCACACACACTAACTTATCATCTAAATTTAGGTGAGCAAATTTAGCTACTTAAAGGTCCCTTGTCATTCAAATTCTCTCACACAGACTGATGACTGTCAGTATAACTGTCTTGCCCATGTCCAGCTACCTTTTGTGTGTCATCTCTGGCTAAATTTCACCTGCTAGTCTGGAAGCAAGGCTTCCAATCTGATAGGGAGGCTCTCTCCTAAATGCACAAGATATCAACACCGTCACCTTGTTGCTGACGTTAGCAAATGTACACTGGAGGCCTGAGGGCCATCTTCGCTTTGCTTGCCAGTGCTCAGAGGCTCCATGGCCAATTCCTGGTGATGATGTTTGGTTTTTAATTTCACCTCAATTCCTGCTGTAGCTGAGGTGATTTCAGTCACAGCTGGCTCACTGCACTGCCTCCAGGCTGCAGCAGAAGCCAGTATGCTACTTGGCCTGTTGTGTTTTGCCTGAAAGAAAATGTTTGACTTTAATTGAAAATTGTCTTCCTGTTTGTCTTCTTGTAACAGACCGATCTTTGATCTTATCCAATTTTCAGTGATCCACATGTTTCTCAGGCAGCAGCCTTACCACCAGGTCCCACAGAAAATTGCTGTAGATATCTCACTGCCAGGCCTCTGGCTTGATCAGGCTTAGATCACTTCTCTTCAGCAAATGCTTGTGAATGTACACCACACTTCTGCTCCTGGGTTGTATGGCTAGCTCCAGTACTCTGATAAAAAACCTCAGCTTTCATTTTAACATATTCTGATATTCTGTTTTGTGTAAACAGTGGCTGTACTGGGCACTGCCTGGAAATATTTTGTAGCCATCTTGGCAAAGATTCTGAAAAATGAGAGAGCAGTCTGACATGCAGATGTACGGGTTGTCCGCATCTGGACAGAGGACACTGAATTCCTATTAAAGGGCAGGAAGCATTAAATAACAGCTCTCTGGAAGCTGGTTGACAAGGTAGGCCTGTACCCAAAGCCCTAATGGCAGCTATTTTGTCTGCTTCTGGCTGCCATAGCGATGGACACTCCTGGCAGCAGACTTCCATCATGGCAGCAGCAGTTGGCTATGGAGCCTAGAAATTCCATTTCAGGTAAAGCTGGCCCTCATGAAGACCCTCTAACTTTCAGAGACTCCTCAACTAATACGCAAGAGTATAAGCAGAGCTGAGTGCAGGAACGCAATTATTTGTTAGCAGTTTGAGACTCTCATGTTCAACATGGCTCCAAGGAGACCTGATAGCAACCTTTCAGTGTTTAAAGGAGAGCTATAAGATAGAAGAGAGTAGACTATTTATCAGGATCGATTGTGATAGGACAAGAAGAAATGATTTCAAAGTAAAAGACAAAAGATTTAGACTGGATATAAGAAAAAAATTTTTTTATGATAAGTGTAGTAAGGCATTGTAATATATTGCCCAGAGACTGGTGGATGCCCCATCCTTGGAGATATTCAAAGTCAGACTTTCCCCATTAGTCTTTTCTTGAAGCACCCTTGCCACCTCTCACAAGCAGCTGCACTTTGTTTTGTGCAAAAGGCTGTACAAAGGGAAAGCATCATCAGTGCTTTGCCCATGTCTGCACATGCCTACTCATGTGTGCCTGTGTGCTGGAACTCATACAGAGTTAGCTGAACAAGTCTTTCCTCCAGGTCTTCCCATTAGCACATGCTCATGATGCCCTTATGTCTTATAGGATCCATAGGATCCATGGTCAAGCCAGTAAATTCTGTTATACAGTCCTCTGTATTTTAATATTACAGATATCCCAGGTGGAAAAAACAAAAAACAAAAACAAAAAAATCAGGACTTAAAATAATTGAAGGGAAAAGATCCCAGCTAAATAGTTGGAGGAATAACATCCTAGGTTTTTTGTTTGTTTTTGAGAAAATAAATGTATTTATATATCTAATAAAACTACTTCTAGGTGAAAATTTAAGTAATAATGATTTTGTTTTGTTGCTTTTCTTATGATATTTTATTATTCAAATTGCACTTAGTATTGGATAGCAATAAAATTCTCAGTAGATCTGATGGGCACAGATTGCAGTTCTTTGTGATTCAGTTATCATGGCTTCCTCATACTTCTTCATTCTTCTTAGGATTATTTTCAAATGCTAGGTGTAAGGAATGACAGAGTCGATATGTTAAAAGATGGAGAGGATTCATCCACCTGACTGCTCACAAGCTATTTTGCATTTGAGTAATAAAACAACAATGAAGTTTAGGAGAGCTTGTCATTGTGCTGTTTAACATGGGATAAATCCATGGAGACTGCTTCGTCCTAGTTTTCAAATCTTGCTATCATAGAACTACAGAATTTTTTGAGTTGGAAAGGCCCTTTAAAAGCAATCTAGCACAACTCCCCTGCAATGAACAGGAATATCTACAGCTAGATCAGTTATTCATATTTTCTTTAAAGCTTCAATGTAATTGTCACTCAGTTGTTTCTCTGACAACTAGTTGGATTTTTTCTTTAGTTTATTTTGAACTCTGCTTGTTGATGATAAATAATTTATTTGGTAGTATTAGCTGTATTATGAAAACACTTTTTAGACATCAATGAAATATTCTGAGAAGATAAATTAACTGAGAAAAATACTTGCTACTTTTCTGTATTACTAAGGAAATTTCCTAATTAGCTAATTCCTCCAGCATGCTGCACTAATTACTCTGAAAACACCTCATTTTTAACAGCAGTGAAATAATTGCGTAAGATAGATTGTCTTTTGATTACTGTTTTCCCAGACAATAGTTTTCTAACAATATGTGAATCAAATGCAAGATCTGTTCTGAAGATGAAGAACAGAAACAAAGAAAAGAAAAAATATATGAGAGTACCAGACTGATTGCCTGACTCTTAGATTTCCTGCTGAGAGTAGGTCTCTGTGTAGTAGATCTCTAAGTCCACTCAGGTCTTCAAAAGGCCTGTCATGTATCTTTGTTGTTCCTCGGCCTCTCACGACAAAAGAAGTCTCAATAAACATAGAACATTTCATTACTGGCTATAATTCTTTTTTTCAGATGCTATCTCCTGTAGGATGAGGGAGAAACTGTTCCACTAATTGCATCAGACATGTCAAGTATCTTAACAAAAGTGTGTTAAAAATGAATTTACAAAACAAGAAACAGCACCCATGCTAGTCTTTTCCTTTCCAAATTGGGAGGTTTTGGTGGCTATAATCATTGCAAAAAAAAATTATAGTCTCTTCTTCATACCAACAGATAAGAGCATAAAAGTAATGCAGAGGTACTTATGAAGGATGGACACAATAACAGGGATAGATACTAGGAAGTTTTATGTATAAGTATTTGAATTATATCATTAGTAGGGCTTTTGTACAATAACTAGTTAACTAGTTG